GGAAGGAAGGAAGGAAGGAAGGAAGGAAGGAAGGAAGGAAGGAAGGAAGGAAGGAAGGAAGGAAGGAAGGAAGGAAGGAAGGAAGGAAGGAAGGATTCTTTCTACTGTAAAAGCTTACAAAATGCATAAGGAGATACTGGGTTCACCTTATTGAAATAGATAATATTTTCGTAAATATGAGAAGATTCACCCTTTATGCTTTGTTACATATAACCTTTGGTGGGGGGGGAAGGCTGAAAATCAAAACCAGGTGTCCTATATTATATCACCATGCAAAAAATAAGGATGTGTTTTGTGTTCACATAGTAGTGTAGTCCAATTTAAAAAGTATCTCACCTGTGAAGGACACTTTTGCTTCATTTGGAGAATAAATGAAGTATCAATATTTGTTTAAGAAGTGCTTCCAACAAGTGCWTATAGCTGAGCTTAATTTTGTGCATGACTTAAGTGTGCACTGAAAACGCTTGACCATTTGCTGAATGAGGGCCTAAGTCAATAAGTTGCTTCAGCCAAATCTATACTACAAATTTTCTTTTGCTGTAACTTTTAGGAGGTTATGAGATTAATATTTGCTTTAATGGGGTGACTATAAATAGCAGCCTCTCTCCRTGCTGCCAGAAATTATAAAAAGAAGATCCTTTTGCCAGAAGAGTTTAGGTCTTCCAAGAGAGATACTGCCAACAGAAGAGCTCTATTTGCTGTTATCAACTGCATCTCTACCAGGGCTTTGCTACTAAAAGTCTACCAGCAAAGTATTTTAGAGAATAAACTAATTGGGGTTTTATTTCTTTTGATTTATGACTGACAGTTTTTTCATTTCTCTCTGTTTTTCTGTCATTATTTTGTGTGTTTCAGAGAATTGCTGTATTGCAACCAGTGCTCTGAAGTTGTCACAACACCAGTTTTGAAAATGCAGCTGGAAGTCTTCTTGCATTGTCCATCCCGATCTCAAAGTACAGTGAAAGTAAAGGTGTGGTGTGAAATAAGCATCAGTGTATTGGGTRTAGTGAGGATAGGTGTGTGGATACACAGGTGTTCTAAGGCACACTTTACCAACAGCTCTTTCAGAAGAGAAATTAAAATATGTAAGAKTATCCTGTAATTCAATACTAAACCTATGTTTCATTGGGCTAAGAAGCCAGTTCCCAAATCTTGCTCAAMTAATGCAGTCATTGAGTTCACCCTGAGGTCTGCAAACTGTTCTGTGGCCCAGATGAAGGGATTTGTTAGGTTGGGCCTTGGGAGACCTCAGTTTACACAGTCCAATAGGAATGTATATTTTCAGAGCTCCATTCTGAACATCTTTTGTGTCACCTCTCCTCTGCTTTCTTGGCCAGAGAAACAAAACTGTTTGATATGAAAATGATGAATCTTTGTTCTACATGACTGCAAACAGAACGTCTTTGCACACTTAACACCTTTGTCATGAACTAAACCTGTGAATTTTCTCATTCCAGCTGTTGCAAAGGACGATCTCCTCTCTCCTGATGTCATCTGCCAGTGAGGATGGGGTAGGTGTAATGAATGCTGACCAAAGAAAGTTAAATTACAGAACTTAGTGTAAAGGCGGAGTACCAATGTGCTGGCAGGTCAGCCATGACTTCTGCTCTCAGGGTCTTAAAAATCTCCAGTGAAGAAGATTCTTTCCAGGCAGTTCACTTCAGARCTGCACTGGCAGTGGTGGGAGATTTCACTCAAGTCATGATATTTTTTCCCATGTCCAGCCTGTGATTTGAGCGGGCTGTGCCCTTTGGCAGTCCCACCTTCCAGCTGCTGCATGCCCTGCTGTCTCATGAGACTCACACCCTCCTTTTCAGAAGGGGGATGTTGCAGATGGGCCGTGTAGCTTTAGCTCAGCTGCAGATCTGCTTATCTACCTGCAAACAGCACCGTGTCCAGGCACTCAGAGCTGCCACAGCACTGCTGGGCTTTGCTCTGTCCTCTGGCTGAGGATCCAAAGATAGCAAAGATACARTCCCACCTTTTGGGCCTGGCCTTCTAAATCCTATAAATCACAACCACTTTGTAACAGCACAACACTGGAAGTACTGGCAGGTGGAAGCAGTAGGAGAATTTACAAAATGCATGCAAGATACTGCTTTATAGTTGTAGGAACGAAACACACATAAGCTATGGAGATCCATGGGCTAAAGTACAGTTTATGTAACCATGAAGTAATTATTCCTTTAATCTGAGATATCAGAAGAACCCTGACATTTGGCACAGTAACCCAGATTTATCATGGGTGAGGGAGGTACCCAGGTAGATGCCTGGCTGGCATTGGCTGCTGGATGGTCAGTAGCAAGGRAGCGGCACCTTCAGAGAGTCATTAAGTCCAATTAGGATTCCAAGATTTTCCCTCTCCCTTGCACGTGGAAGGGAGCAAAGGTCGGATCGTTGTCTTGTTTAATCATCCCGGTTAAATATCTTCAGTATGTGTATTGGGGYCAGTTTGCTTTCCCTGTCTTACAAGTTTTCCAGCATTTTCTTATTACATGCTCCATGTAGTACTGGGATTTGTGGGTAGTATTTGAAGTGGAAAGTTACTCTGAAATAATAAATTCTTTTCCTTATGCTAGAGGGTGTATATTTCATTTAAGCAAAGAAATTTCCTAAATGTGTTTGCTCCTTTAATAGCAGTTAAGTCTTGCTGAGTTTCGCAGGATGTGTCTGGTTTGGTTACAGACTGGCAAAACATAATTATTTTTCGAGTTATTAGAATTCAAAGAACCTCTTTTTAATGTTTCAATGTGTATAATACCAGTATTTGGAAATCTGGCAACTCAGGATTTTTTCTTCCCTGGCTGAAATGCAGGGATAAAGATTAGTCACAAGAAATACCACTTGAGGTGGCATTTTTTTGCCAGTGCTGTTTAAGTTCCTAAGGGTGTAGCTTTGTAATCAATTCTTTTGGCAGGGAGGTTGGTTTCAGCCATCACTGGCCCTGGCCACTCATTCCTCACCTTGTGGCAGCCCTTCTGTTACACCAGAAGAATTGTTTGTGCAGCTGCACAGTGAACTGGACTGCAGAACCGGTCTGGGGTAAAAATAATCTAAGAAAAAAGAAAAGGAAGAAAGTTGTTTATACCTTGAGCCAGGCAACACCGTGGGTATCACATACCTGTGCAGAAGCACAGCGCAGATGAAGGCAGGCAGGAGCACAGTCAGAGGCTGGTCCCAGCAAGGCCCATTAAAGAGAGACATGGATGTGAACCTGCCACCTGAGATACCCTCTCAAGTGAGCTATCAACTGTGAGTGTCACCAGTTCTTATGTTACCGTGCTGTATCCTCTTATTTACACCTTGCCAGCCTTGCATCCCTCCCCTCCATGCAGGATACAGCCTCTGGAAGTTCACTCAGGCACAACTCGTGGGTGAAATGCCAACTGGATCATTAAGCAGGAGGGACTGTGTAGGTGCTGGTGATGGTAAAGGATGTGTGAACAACAAAAAGTTAAAAGGGGGGAGAGGGAAGAGAGTAAGAAGGGTTACAAAAGGCTTTTTCCTTTAGTGGATCAGTTAGCACTGGTAATCAGTGTATAATATGTACATAGCATTGCCAGCATGCGTGAAGTCCTGCAAGTGTCTAGAAAGGTAGATAAAGGGAGCACGTGTAGGTTATGCTTCAGCAAAACCGAGTTCAGAGTCACAGTACCTTTTTTATTTTTAAAACAGCTCATTTGTAAAGCCTGGTAGGGAAGCAGCACTTGAGGCAGGAGTGTGATCTAATTATTGAAAATCGAATGTGTTCATTCTTTCCACTRGTTCCAATGCACTTTTCAAGTCCTTTAAAAAAAATTGTCTGTTGGAAGACGATCTTGTATGCTGCATCTTCCCAGCTGAATGCTGCTTAGAACAGAACGTCCAGCACTGTTTGTTTTACTCACCATGCCTTTATTCTTGCAGACCTACGAGGTGCAGAGCGTGCTGGGAAAGGAGGTGGGGTTATTGAACTGCTACGTCCACTCCGTAACCAGTCATCCCAACTGTGTTGCGCTGGAGGAAATCGTTCTTCTGGAAGCTGCAGCAAGACAGAGTTGAACTCTAGTCAGCTATTAGAGTATCTGTGGACTTTGCAATGTGATTATCTGTTAACTAGTGCCACAGATAATGTGTAATGCAAGTGTGATAAGCATTGAGATAGTTTATTAAAACTGTGATTTATAAAGCACATTGTGCTAACACTGAAAAAAATATCCATATATTGTTCARCTTTCTGAACTTTTCTTTTTCTGATCAATGCAGACTTTAAGGATAGTTCTTTGTTGTGTTTGCTGTTTATTTATGTAAAACATCTTGTTCTGGAAGTTTTGAATGGTTGTGATTTTTTTTWAATAAACCTGTATTTATTACATGTYGATGGAAAATATTTTGCTGGTATTTTTGAAATAAATAATTTGCTATGGGCAGTGAATGTTGGTTTAAACTGAGTTTTATCAGTGGATTCCAGACCTGCTGCAAAATGCTGCATGGTGTGCGAATTCTGAGTTGTTATCACCTTGCTGTAGTTGTTATAAAGACAGAGATTTGAGCAAAGCTTATATTTTGAAGTGTCAGGCACATATAAAGTTAATGTTTTACAGCTAATTTGTCTCTCAGCATAGAGGTAGTGTGTTATCTGTAGCTTCCCACAAAGCGGGTGTTTTATTATAGTTTCTTTTATGGGTAAGCAGCAAACTGCGTTGCAGGCCACGCAGCTATCCTCACCCAGAATGTGGAGACTACAGATCAGATAAATGCCAAAATCTTCCTTTGTGAATTGAGAGAATTAACGTAAGAATTAGAGACTGGGTATTTTTTTCACCCCTTACTCTCTCACAGTATTTAAAAGCCYCTCACAGGTCAGAGGAGGAACGAGTGGTTTTGTGCGGGTCCTGTGCATGATTAACCAGCAGAAAAGGAACAAACTTGCCACCCTGATCATTTCTGCGGCTCAGGCCAGTAGTGGGAAGTCTTGTGGATGTCGTGATTACTAAAGGAATGACCCAGTTTTTGAATTCCCCTTTTTTTCCCCCCTTGTCCAAGGATTTCAGTCTTTTGCCCGCCTCCCTGTAGGGAAAAAGGGGACCCACAGCCCGTTCCTATGTAGAGGATACTGGTCTGTATGCAMGACTGGGGTTTCCCCTTCAAAACCATTAAGACTTGAGTCTCTGAGAAAGYTGGAGATTATTGTTGTGTCGGGCCATTTATCTGCCAAGTGCCCTACAGATGCTGTAGGTCCTYTAACAGTGCACTACCAAAATTTAGACAAGTTGCCCGACCTTCTGCAATCTGTTCACTCACTCAGCGATGAACAGCAGCGTTGCCGCTTTCACTGTCACTAACAGGGATCAGTGAAAGTCTTTGTGATCACTTACTCTGTGATGAGCAGCGGTTGCCCACTCTCACCAGCCGGGATCAGTGAAGGTGCCCAGCTCCTGAAGTTCCACAGCCTACACTGGGCTGAAGCCTGAGGTGCACCAACATCTCTGGGACTCACTACGGCTGGTCCCGGCACTGGAAAGTGGTAGTGTGGGTGCAGCTTTGCGTTATCTGGAATGAAAACCCCTTGAAAGCTTTGTGACAGGAATTGTAACCAGTGGTATTCTTTAAAATGTATTCTTGTAGTCCTATATACTTTT